TCCCCCCCCCCCCCCCTTCCACTTTTTCCTCGTCGCGCTAAGTCGTTCGCGTTTCTTGCAATTTCCAATTACACCGACCGCGTAACAGTTCGCGCATAAGACAACGTTTCCGGCGTAAGCGTGTAAAACAAACGGCGAGGTCGCTGGTGTGTAACCGCTATCGTTATCGCTAGAGATTTCGGGGCGCGAGTCGCGGAATCAGGTGCGTCGGGAGGGCCCACGCGAGCATAATCCGTTCACACGTCGGCTCCGCTCCGGCAATAAATATCGCTCTTTTAACGCCCCGCTCATCGGGCCGCTCTAATTGAAACCTAATCCACGGCTAAAGCTTTCAGATTATCCCCCTCTGGCCCCCGCACGACCTCGATAAATCTACCGTAAAGTCGTGCCGACGACCCTCTGCCTCGCGAACAGACCCGACGAGCAAACCCGACCATTTTTTTTTCCCTCGACCCCCGCACATAAACGCGTGTAGTCAGGGAAGAATGAATGAACCGACGTGACATGACGGCCCTGTTACCGCTGCATTTTTTTTACCCCCTCTGCGCGCCGCAACGATAATCCTCGCGATAATGAGAATGCTTTTTGCCGTTGAGTTATTAACCCTCCTCTCGTTCGGAGTAACGGACAGCCTAGATCGGTTTTCCAAACGCGGGGATCGATCGCCCTTTGCGAAACGATAGCTGGCTTACACGCGCGCGAATCAAATACCCGTACGAAATTGTGCCGGAACATGTATAGGTCGCAGCTACTCACACGACTGCGAGAACGGCCGCGTTGTCCAGGCTTATCGGCAAAACTATCAGAATGCATGCAGCTCGCGCTAAACGAGGGAAAAAAAGCGCGACGGCGCAACGAGAAGAAACGACGAAAGATGTGGAAGGAGGAGAAGAACGCTCGAGAACGGAGAGAGGATCTTACGGAGAGCGCGGCGAAGTAATTAAAAGCCGCCAGCGCGGGAGAGGGAGAGTAGAGGGAGGGAGGAAGAGAGAGCGAGAGAGAGAAAGAGAGAGAGAGAGAGAGAGAGAGAGAGAGAGAGAGAGAGAG